GGGAGTGGGGAATACGAAAGTCAAGGGAGTAAAGGGTCTTGTAGGCCCGGGTCTGATTTTGGTTCCAGCCAAATCAGTCTTCTTGCTGTCGCTACGGCCTTGTTCTGAAATCTAGGCCCTTGCCCTACCCTTGGTCCTCCCTGGAAAACCACCCTTCCAGATCCCCAGATGTTGCATTCCCTCACTTGTCTGCTCCAATGCTCCCTTCCTTGGGAGGCCTTCCACACATGCCTCCTGTTGCTTTCATCCTTACTTCACCGCTGGGATTCTCACTTAGCCCTGAGGTGGTGCTCATACTCTGCCTTCTCCACCAGCTGCAGGCCCCCACGGGTATAAGAGCAGTCACTGCTTTGTTGTTTTGTTCATTGCTTTCTCCTCAGTGGCTGGTGCAACAGTAAGTGCGTCTCCGGCAAACACTGAATCAGTGGATGGATGAGTGCTATCATTATGTGAAAAATAATAGAAAGTTGATTAAATGCATACACAGACATGAGAAAGGTGTTAAGGTAAACTAGCCAGAAGCAACTTTTTGAATCTTGAGTTATACAATAGATATAAGTCAATTGTAAAGGAAAGAGGGTCTCAAATGGAGGCGGAGCGTAAACAAACGTGAAACTGTAAAAAACGATGTTTCATCAGAATGAACCATGTGGGCTGACTACTTATGAGAGACTAAGAATAGCCAAGATGAGCAGGAAAAGTAGAAGTCAGTGGATATCTTACATCTTACAGTGAGAAACAAATTGGAGCCAGTTGTAGTGGTGCACACCTGTGACCCAGCTCAGGTGTGACTCAGGAGGCAGAGGCAGGAGAGTCACTTGAGTCCACAAGTTTAAGACCAGCCTGGGGAATGTGAGATCTTGTCTCAAAAGCAGAGCAAAAGGGCTGGGGATTTAGCTCAGTGGTTCTGCTGCCTGCCTCTCAAGTGCAAGGTCCTGAGTTCGGTCCCCGATACCAAAAAAAAAAAAAGTTTAAATTAAAAACTGAGTAGAGGGCTGGGGATTTCGCTCAGTGACACTGCACCTGTCTCGCAAGTGCAAGGTCCTGAGTTTGATCTCTGGTACCACAAAAAAAAAAAAAAAATTGGGTAAAAATTACACATGTGACAATGGACTAATACTCTCTAAAGTATGAGTTCCTATAAATCAAGAAAATAAACCAAAAATCCAAACATATAAATAGACTCACATGGACCATTTATGATGACTTTTTTGTTGTTTTAAAAGCTTTTTTGATATATAATTCATGTACTATACAATTCACCCATTGGAAGTTCCTAACTCAATGGCTTTTAGTATATTCATAGTTGTGCGTCCATTGTCACAAGCTATTTTAGAACATTTTATTACCCCCAAAAAAACTTTGTAACACTTAGCCATCACCTTTCAAATCTTCTTATCACCTCAGTTCTAAGCAACAACTAATCTACTCTCTCCACAGATTTGTCTTCCAATCCATGAGCAGGGCTCCCCCACCCCATTTTGGGGATTGAACCTAGGGCCTCATGCATTCTAGGCAAATGTTCTATCAGTGAATCATGTTCCCAGCCCCAAGCGAAGGTGGCTCTTGAGAGTCCAGGCTGCTGGGAGGAGAGGGGTCTCTTTTGCTCCCTGAAGTTTTGTTGCTGCTGAGCTTCCAAAGACAGAAGAGAAAATAGGTTAGAGCAGGGGAAGAAAAAATAATTTTCTGTCCCCCTCTTACTGAGTCAAGAATCTTATCTAGGTTCTTGGTGTCTCAATGAAGAATTGAGCAGGGCACTCAAAAGGAGCAGAAAGATCAAAGATTTACTGAAAGTACAAGGTGGAAGTGGACCCGTGAGAAAAGGTCCTGCCTTGAAGAGGCTTGGTGGTGAAGGTTTTAAGCACTAAGGATTGGGCAGGGACTGAGGGGTTGGTCTAAAGGTTGCTCTTGCCAATGAGAGGTTTGATTCTGCCCTCCCAATTAGTGGCAGTTTTTGACTTTTTATGGCCCTTGGAGAAACTTTCATGGTGCCCCAAACCCACAGGAATGGTGGCGGGGAGTGGTTAAAACAGCATTGGTAATGACATGATGATTATGGTGTGGACAGAGTGGACAAAGGTTGCTTAAGACTTCTGAGTATAGGTCAGGGGACTTACTATGGGTTACTTTGTTACTTCTCCTTCTCCACTTAGACCAGGATATCCTGGACCTAGATTAAAGTGTAATGTGAGCAGGACAGAAGCCATCCTTTGCTTCTGTCTTGTTTCAAACTTACTTTCTGAGTCTGAGCTTTCTGACCCATGTGATAACCACACAACCACTGTGCTTGAGTGTCAACCCTATTGTGTGATAACCATATGGCCTGCATGCTAAAATCTTACTTTGTGAACCCCTTTTGAGAAACTTATAAAAATGTTTTCTAAAAAATATATTTTTACTGTCAAGATTAACACATGTTGTTTGCACCAACTTCCCCACAGCATAAAAGATGAAGTCTTGAGCTGCTCTTGGGCTTGGTCTTCTGGCTTAATGCTTATGGACTCTGCCCTCATATTGCTCTTTGAGGAGCTGCTGCTTGAGCTCTGCAACAGTCTGTGACCATCACTCTGCCCATCCGGATTCCCCACTTGGCTCCCTGGCTGTACTGGTCTCTGGATCGCCATGAGTTCCAGTGCTCAGCCTGCAGATCGCTGAGTTCCAGTGCTGCCTGTTGGGCCCACGGTGTTCACACAGTGTGTAGGCCAGGTGGAAGAAAGTCCTGCACTGTCAGTGCCACCTCCAGCTCCTAGCTTATGTCTGGGTGAGATCCCTTCTCTCTTTCTATGAATGTGGTAAATGCTCAATAAATTGTTGCATTCAGGAGATTGCTCAACTCTTGGGATCTTTGTTTGGCAGACTTGCTGACTCCCTTCAGCTCCTCTGAGCCCCAAAGTGGCCTCAAGTGCCTTTGGTGTCAAGAGTGGCCCCTGTGTCCACTGGTGACAAAGTTTAACACAGAAGGTGGATCTAGCCTACAAATTGGTCTCCAAGGTAGGGCTCCTTCCTTTCTTTCCAGCTGACTCTAGCTACTTCTCACCTCCCGTCCTCATGGAATTCTTCGTTGAGCTGGACTCCTGTAACAAAAGAGAGGTTAAGAAGAGAAGAACACCAAGGAGTTTAACATGTATATCTCATGAACACATGGACAATAACCCAGAGAAATGAGTAAATCTTAAGAGTGGATCTCAAAGAAATGGCTTTGACTTCACCCTGAAAGACTATCATTCCCTGATGTGAAGAATGAAGGGTGTGGGTCAGACTGCTGGGCCCTCTGTGAGGCTTCAATGGCCAAGAAAAGCCTGGTTAACAAAAGCAAGGTTTGTTATACAGATTTAAGGGAGTGCCTTCTCCACTGGTGTCTAGTGATCTAGTCTTCCTCACGCTGGTACAGAGAAGGAGGCACTGTTGGAAACAGATTTCCTTCATAGATGTACATTTCTCTTATCAAAAGTTATTTTTTTCTCTTTCTTTTAGTGCTGGGGATGGAGCCCACGGTCTCACACGGCAAATAGTACTATACCCCTGAGCCCCATCCCCAGCCCAAAGGGTAACATTTGCTCTTTTCAGAGCTTCTCTGTATGTTACCCCAAATTATCAGTTTAAAGTAATCCTTACTTGGGTGGCACATTATGATCCCCAATCCTATATTCAACCTTACTGATTTCCTCCCCTCTTTGATAGGAATGTGAAATAAAACATATCGGAGGTGGTTGCTTGTACTGAGCTCCTATAGTACATGTCAACAGACCAAACTAAAAAGGAGTCACTCATACCAAATGTCAATACTCAAACCTAAACTAAGTTGTTTGTTTGATCCTTGGAGAAGTAAGGAAAGATGTCAAAGGACAAAATTGTAACAAACTTAGTTTTAAAAAAACCTCAATAGGCTTTATAGTGAATCTGAAATTGGGCAATACTTTGTTCCATAAAATAGTGTTCCAATGGTCTGTGCAAAAGAGGTTGATTTTGTATTTTAGTTTCATGATTTTGGTTTTTTAAGACAGGGTCTCACTATGCAGTTCAGGCTAGCCTTCAACTCACTATGTAGCTCAGGCTGGCCTCAAACTCAGGACCCTCTCACCTCAGCCTTCCAGTGCTGGGATTATTGGTGCATATTATCTCACCTGGCTAGGAGGTTGGTATTATAGATAAAAAAGAAAGCAGAAACAAAGAATAAAGAAAGACTGGTCATTTCAAAGTTGCCTTCCTTGGTAGACAAGGATGGGGAGGGAGAAAATAGGAAAATAACTAGTTAATACTTGGTTAGTTTTTTCTTGGAAAGGATGAAAGTAGATGGAATTGATTATCATGCCAATTGAAATTGGTATGTTTGGAGATATATTATCTCCTGATTTTATGCCTTTTGTCATAAGGGTACTTTAATAGCTTATAGAAATATATAGGAGCCACAGAAGCTCTGAAAACAAGCTGCCTTGGGCTGGGGATTTAGCTCAGGGGTTTCGCCGCCTGCTGCACAAGCGCAAGGACCTGAGTTCGATCCCTGATACCAAAAAAAAAAAACAACAAGCTGCCCTTTGGCAAGAGAAATGTACATCTATAAAAGAAATCTTCATTTGTGATGGAGATTTTGTAATTTTTATTTAACAAAATTATAGCCAAATCCCCAGATAGGCCAATGTTGGCCAGCATGACAAGTGGTCTCCCTGTTAAACCTGACCAACTCTGAAGCCAGCAGCCTGGGTTTTGTCTCTTGTTCCTACTCCCTTCAGTCTTTCCCCATCTACACACCTGATGCCCACACTGCTGCGCACAGCTCTCTAAGCCTCCCTTCCCTCTCAGCTTCCCCAACTCATGACTGAGATAAACTGTGAAATTTATTTTTTTCTGAAGTGACTCTTTTATACAGAAGCTTTAGTGTGGGGTGCAGAGGTGAGTTTCCTGGGAGGCATGGGCGGGCCCTGCCCCTGCTTGGGTCACACCCTAGAGAGGGGTTGGGATGGGGAGAAGAGTCAGATGTGAAGTGGCTGGGGCTCCACTTGGATACACTTGAGACTGTTGAACCAATGACTTCCCCTGGCAGAGTAACTTCTGTATTGAAGTTGTGGACTTAACCTGGGGAAGCCATGTATAGGCCCCAGGGGTTCTTCAGCAACCCTTTTTCTTTTCAAATACTGGGAATTGAACTCAGGACCTACATAATGAGCTACAACCCCAACCCTTTTTATTTTGAGTGTTTTGGTAAGTTACCCAGGTTGGACTCAAACTTGTATTCCTTCTGCTTCAGCCTACCAGAATGCTGGAATTATAGGTGTGCACCAGCATGCCTGGCTTTAGCAGCTTTTAATGAGCCCTTCCTATTATCAGACTTTGGAGTGGGCATTGGAGACATAGTACACAACAAAGGACCTGCTCTCTGGAAGCTTTTAAGAGTCAATGTAACAATGACAAGAGGCATGACCCGGGTGTTCTCACTGATTCCACCCTCTTACTACCTCAGCGGGTTGGGTAGGGTTGGGGATGGTGAGTTGGTGCCTGGCCTTGACCTCTCTCTGTGGCTCCTTAACAGCTCCCCTCTTAGCAGCTCCCACTGCTGTCCATACAGACCCTGGTCACCTTCACCCTGAATAATGACCATAGACCCCAGACCTCCTTTTATATGGACATTAAAGAAAAATTTGAGATTAAATTTAAGTCTTTGAAGATGAAAAAGTTTCCAGAACCAAGCAGCACTCAGAATCAAAGTTAGTTTAGAATGCTGCCCGACCACATGTACAGGCTATATTTATAGCTTGAGAAAAGGAAGTGACATACAGAAGTGCCAATCAGACTGGCATTGGCCTTATGTGGGTATGGTGTGAGCAGCTGGTAGCCTATGAGTGGGTGAAGTCTGACTGCTATGATTGGTTGAGACTTGGTTATAAGAAGGCACTCTTAGGTTAGGTTACATGTACATGTTTATGTGTTTGGAGACTGCTTTGGGCCAAGTTATGACCCAAGTATGGAGACAGGCTGAGGCCAAAGTTAACACAGTTTAACATGAGTGCATCATCAGTACATCTTAGAGTTCTAGCCGCCAGCCTCTTCAGGTCCAATCCAGAACAGGTGTCTGTCCCAGAAAGGGTACATCCTTACCAGGACGCACAGGTTAGGGCTGTCTGATTCATTATACCAACATATCTACAGCTGTAGGGGGAATGGGAGAAGCTGCACAAGCCTCAATCATATTGTGGATCAACATGTCCAGTACTATTAACCAAATGTGAGAACCCCAGTTCAATGACCCTTGCCCCACTGCATGGGAGCAGGTAACCCAACCATCCAGGGATGACCCAGGCAGCTACTGGGGAAAAAGCATCCTTACAAGATTGGTGCCCATTTGACCCAGCTATTCCCCTGCTGGATATCTTCCCAAAAGAATTAAAAGAATCATACCACAGCGATATATGTGTACCCATGTTTATAACGGAACAGTTTGTAATAGCTAAAGCTTGGAAACAGTCCAAGTGCCCATCAACTGGAAACTGGACAAAGATGTGTTTTTTTTACAAAATGGGAGTACTATTTAGCCATAAAGAACGAGAAATGAGAGACATTTATAGCTAAATGGATGCATATTGAGGCCATCCTCTTAAGTGAAATAAATAGGACACATGTGTGTAAATAGCGAATAGTTTCTCTAGTGTGAGAAACTGAAAGTGTAAATAAGGATTAAAAGGATTAATAACAAATAATTGATAATTTCAAATAGGAAGGTCCAAAAGGGTAGGGATGGTGGGAGGGGAAGGGGAAAGGGAAGAAGGGAAAGGAAAAATTATGAGAAAAGAAAAAAATGGAAACAAAGTGTATGTAAATAGGGAAGGGTGGAGGGGGTGAAGGGCGCACAAGTAATGGGGGAAAAAAAACCCCAAGATACATCATGTACAGGTACAAGCACCCAATGATAAATGTAAACGTATTGTATACCTAACATGTATCAATAAAAGAATTTAAGGGAAAAAAAAAAAAGATCGGTGGACCCTGCCAATGTGTTAGTCCATTTCCTGTTATAAAAAAAACCAAAACCCTCCACACTGAGTAATATGTAAAGTATATTTGCCTCATAGTCTTGAAGGCTGAAAGTCCAAATAGAATGGTACTAGCTCTGGTAAGGACTCCCTTGGCTGCATCCTATCATGGCAGGCGGTGGGTACATGTGTGCAAGGAAGAGGTCACATGGCTAGACAGGAGGCCAAAACCAGAGGGGGCCCAGTCGGCTCACCTGCCTTTCTTCCTCCTTCCCTCCCGCCCTCCCTCTCCCTTGCATTTTTTTCCTAGTTATGGGGATAGACCCAGGTATCTGTCCAAGTATCCACTACTGAGCCACACCCACTGTATCCAGCTCAATCTTGGTCTTTTACAACCTTCTTTTGAGAAGTAAGTGGAGACTTGTCAGAATCCTTCCCACTTAATCCCTTTTGAAGGTGGTATCCCCAGTGACCTAACTATCCACCTATCTAGGGTCCCACCACCTCTTAATATCACCACGCTGGGGACCAAGCTTCTATCTAATACATGAACCTGTGAAGGACACATTCACACGACAGCACCAAAGCTGGGCAGAGATGCACACCTGTCATCCCAACTACGCGGGAGGCTGATGAAGGAAGATTTCAAGTTCGAGGCCAACCTGGGCAATTTATCGAGATGCTATGTCAAAATAAAAAACAGAAAGGGCTGAGGGTGGAACTCCATGGTAGACTGTCTCTGGGTTCAGGCCCCATTACAGCCAAAACCAACAAACAGAAATCTCAAAAGACAAAGAACAAAAATAATAGTTAAAAAAAAATTTCCAAACCATAGCACCTATCCAGAAGTTAAGCCCCTGCTATTATTCATATGCTTAGGTATATACTAGATACTGAAAACAGTTTACTGTGCTGAGAAATTCTACAATAAATATACCTAACTTGATAAGGACTCCAAGGGTAGGTTTCTGATTACTGTATCAATGCCCATAGGTGAACAGATTGTGGTCCAGTTTAGGTCTAACCTCTCCATCCCATATCTGCTTTCCCTTCTCCCACTCCCATATTCCAAGTGCTATTGGAGAAAAAACATGCAGGCTCTCTGACTCCATCTTCAGAAGTATGGTTGAGAACCTGTAAAAGAAAATAACTATATGCATGGTGGCACCCACCGTAATCCCAGTGAAAAGGAAGTGGGTACGGATTAGTTTGAAATTGGAGTTAAGAACTCCAAAGTTCTGTAGTCTGTAATGAATGATTATCATAAGCACATATTTTCTTGCTAGCTCTGCCAAGAACATATCTCCCTATCTAACCTGTTAATGCTGCCAAGGACATACCTTGCTATCTACCTTCAAGACTCCCTATCTGCCCAGGGCTTGAACCTATCCTGGAATGTAATGTACTGTATATGATGCATTTCTTTCTTTCTTTCTTTTTTTTTTTGGTACCAGGGATCAAACTTGGGACCTTGAGCTTGTGAGGCAGGCCGCAGAACCACTGAGCTAAATCCCCGGCCCTGTTTTGTTTTTTCAGACAGGATCTTGCTATGTAGTTCTGGTCTTGAAGTCACTATTGTAGCCCAGGCCGGCCTCCAACTTGTAGTGATCCTCCTGCCTCAGCTTCCCAAGTGCTGAGATTACAGGCATGTGCAACCACGCCTGGCAACATATTAATTTCTGAGCCATTTGAAAGTAGTCACTAGAACTTTCGACTTTCAATGATTCAGTAAGCATCTCTTAAGAATAAGGACATTCTTGTGAACTATAGGAAAGCAAAAACTAACAATGATTCAGTAACATTCTCCAATGTATAGGACATCCACACACAAAGTTCTCCAATTGTCCTTCAAAGGTCATAACTTCCTGCTTCAACCAGTGCTGGATCAAGGGGTCAGCTGATAGACCTGGATGTGGTATCCCTTTTTCAGGATGGATTCCCTGGCTTTTTTGGATTTTTATTGAGTTTTTTAAAAGTCCACTGGAGCTGTTTTCTAGAATATCTCCCAATCTGGATTTGTCTGAATTTCCTCCCTCACTTTGATAAGATTCATTCAAAACATTTATTGGTAGGTAGACATAAAAACCACATTTAGTGATTCATAGCTCTGGAATGTGGCTCCCCCACCCAGTACTGATGGCTGAATCCAGGGCCTTCACACTGAGTTACATACCGGAACCTTTTTATTTATTTTGAGACAGAGTTGAATCAGTAAGTTGCCCAGGCTGGGCTAGAACTTGCCATCCTCCTGCCTCAGCTTCTCAGATTGTTGGGATAACAGGCATGATTCACCACACCCGGCTTAGCCTGTGCACTTTTTTTTTTTCCAGTACTGGGGATCAAACTCAGGACCTTGCTTGAGAGGCAGGCGTGCTGGAGCCTGTGCCTTCCTGACAAGCCCTCTGGGATCATCACTAGGCATGGCAAAATTTCAACCTTGGGTTGGGAAGAGAAAGAACAACACATTTGACTTTGGAGACAGTTTTGCTTGTCAGCCTTGGTGAGGGTGTTTGCTAAAAGCATCTACTGGGTAGAGGCCAGGGGTGTTCCAAACATCCTAAAATGCACAGGACAATCTTCAAAAAAGTTATCCAGCTCCAAATGTCAATAGTACTGATGTGGTGAAACTCAGGGGTCTCCCCAATGACATGGAAGTGTTCCAACAAGCTGCCTCAGTGCCACCACCAGCCTTCTTCCCATCGCTGCTAGCTCCTGACATGCTCTGCTATAACACATTAAACACTCAAATGAAAGCTAATCCTTACTTAGTACTCACGAACTGGTTATATCCCTGAATTGAAATTAGTCCTCTAGTTGGCCTGTGAACACGACCTGCCTGCCAATGTGCCTGTCATCTGAGACGAGCACTCTAATTTATTTGAGCAGGCACATATCAATCTTATTTGGAAAAAAAAGGTGCCAGTAAAACCCCAAAGAGCATTGTTAACTAACAACTGTGGGGCAGTCTAGGGTGTACAAAGTGCTCTCCAGTAACAAGTCTTGTAATTTGACCTGAGAGATGGTAGTGCTGCCGCATTCGAGGAACCAACTCTGACCAACTCCAGGATACAGGAGAGAAGAAAGCTTCAATGTGGATACAGACTATTCCACTCCACAGGAATAAAAAGCATTCTTTACAGTTCCTCTCCTCTTCCTCTGGCAAAGCAAGAAAAATCTCAAAATGCCTCGTAAGCGAAACCGAAGTTCAGTGAATTTCCTTGCGATCATGGGACTTTCTGGCTCCAAACTTTGTGAGGACAGCTGAGTGAGATCCTCTTCGAGGAAGTCGGACATAGGTTTTGGCCTTGCAGAAGCCAATCCCGTCTCCTACAGAAGGGCCACGCCAGGTGTGGGTAGGTGACGCTCTGGGCTCTCAGCCAGGCTGCGCGCCTAGCTTTTTGCAAGGAGACTACTGTGGGTGAGGAGTGGCGCCTGCCGGCCTCTCCGCAGTGCAGCAGTGGAGGAAGGCCCATCTAGGAAGCCACGAGAGCGAATCCAACCCAGACGGAGCAGAGCCGCAGGGTCTGTGTTGCTCGGAGCTCACCTGTCCTGCGCACCAGCCACACTATGTGATGCAGCTTCATCTATCTTGAGGTCTGACGCCTTAGGACGTCCAAGAGAAAGGGGTGGTCAGTTCTTCAGAGCTTTCCTACAGGGCGAAAACGAAACCCCGCTCGGGC